ATTGCAAAATAACTCAAAGAATATTCCTTCAATGTTAGAAAGGTTTGGCCAATTTATGCACGAGGTTGAAAACTAAAATTCCGTGTGAGTACGTCAAAGAAAAGGAAAACGGGAAAAATTATGTCTAGAAATATGTTTTCACACCCTTATAAAAATGGCAATGCTTCTGCAAGTCTTGTATTCAAAGGCATTTGACGTACTCGCACAAAAAAGTCCATTTACATACGTAGTCTTTGTCTGCCAAGTTTTAAGTCATAGCGATTAACCTACAAAAAGAAAATGAAATGAACAATCTCCCACATTTATTTGTACCATTTATTTAGACACAAAATCAAACTTTAATTTGAAAATTACCAGTCGGAAAGCTCTCCTTTCGTTGTTTTCCTCAGCAGCCATCTTCTAAATGCCTACAATAATAGTTTCCAGTGGTATATCTTCTAAAACGGCCCTTTTTTGGGCCCTTTTTTCCTTGTACGGGGTGCTATTTTTCCCACAAAACCAATCAGAAAAAGCGATTACAAACAATAACACCTTTGCATAGCAACGGCACCCGCAACGGCATCCAACTGTTAGTGTTGACAGCGTGAATGCAAGAATTGACATTCGAAGCAAGCGAAAGATAGGACGCGCGAGAGAATATAGCGAAAAAAAAAAAACGAAAGAAAAAAAGAAGTAGTCGGCGTGATGCCGCCAAGAAAGCAACAGAAAGAAACTAGCGAGAAGGCGGCGAAGGGTAATGCAATTCGTGGTTCTGGAACACAATCAAGAATTGTGCTAGATTTGGATAAGTTGAGGGAAGCTGGCTGGATGATAAAACAGGAGGAGAGGGAGTCGTCCTCAGGAGTTAAGGTCTACCTACGCTACACAAACCCTGGTGGAAAGACACTAAAAAGTGCGAAAGATGTAGAACGGCAACTGAGAGATGAAGGGGTCTTGGAGACCTTTCAAACAACTAAAACCATTGTCAACGCCAAACAAGAGCAGAAATCAATGACCGATTCTTCCCACGATGACTCTGACTACGAACCATTGCTAAAGGAACTTCGCGAGGAAAGCAATAGTGAGTGGTGAGACTTCTGCTTGTATCTTGATTTGTAGCTTACAACAAACCGTCTGAATTTCATAACTTTTTTCATTGAAGATTGATGGTTCGATTAGTTGTCTTGTCTAGCTTTGAGATTTTCTCACGTTTCTGTGATCTGTAATTACAATGACTCTGCCAAACCGCTGTTACTTACAATTGCTGTTATCTTTTAGCATCCGTATCCCAGAAGGACTGTTTGTGGCCACGACGCCAAGGATTATTTCTTTTGTCCGTGAGTTCAATGCCTATTTTAAATGCCCTTCAAAGGAAGGAAGATGTAGAGGTAAAGTTTACTTGTGTGTGTGCATGGGGTTATACATGCAGTCAGGTGCAATAATGGTTTTGGAAATATATAGCCCTGTAAATATTTTTTTTGGGTTGCTGATAAGCATTGTGCTCCATTTTAATGATTGAAAAATTATTTCACTCTCCATCAAACAATTATATCTGTAAAGTTGTCTCTGCAATGGTTATATTTTTTTGCAAAAGGGGAAATGATAGTTGTATTTAATTTGGCAATTTTTAATAAAAAAGAAAAAAATTTTGGCGTTACAGTCCTGTCTCCTGTCACTTCATGTAGTGGATGAATTCAATTATTTTTGTTTCCAAATTTAAAACAATCTGCTGCAAAACCAAAACAGATATATTTGTGTGACATAAAAAACAAATACAGTAACAGTTATGTAGTCTTCATGCTCTCAACTTATATGTTGTTAGTCTATAACAGAACTATGGCTAAACTTTCCCTTAGGCAAACTTGTACTTGTGGCCTCTGAGAAGAAAGGTCTGGGAGGATCGATGAAATTTTTGTTCCGTTGCAATGGTTGCTGGAAAGAAGAAATAAAATTACCCAGACTGCCATTGCTGATGGGACAGCTCAACCACCACCAGTCCTGGAGGAAGTTGCTGCACCCGAAGGAGCTGAAGTGGAAGTGGGTGGGAAATCATGCAAGTGGTGTGGAAGTAGAACCCACTCGAGGAGAAGCCACAAAGACTGTCCAACAAATAAAAATAAAAACTAAATTTTAAGAAACTTAGGTTGTTTACTTGGGGTCACAAAGAAATTGTGTGATTATCAATGATATTACCCTCCTGGTACCTAGTAAGGAAAGCTTCATGTAAGGTGTCATGTATGACAAACCTCAGTGAAACTTTATGTCATATGAATAATAATTTGCCATATGCAAAGTACTTACCAGAACAGTTAAGCATTTTCTCATCCAAATACAGCGTTGTGTTATATTTTAGTACAAAATTTGAGTTGCTAGTGGATCCTAGTACATAATAATCACTACCACTAAAAAGAAATTGAAAAGTAGTAGATTCTATTATCTTAATTTTGAATTTTCCTATTCATTGGAAAATTTTGTAGAGCAGTTTTCATGTGA